CTCTTTTTTCCAGTTCCCACTCTGCAGACGCAGTAACTGGATCAATACCATCATTGCCTCTATCATATTCCTCAGCACTGTACGTCAGAAACAGATCGGGATTATCCATATTAAAACCAACATTCCTTCTTCCTTTTTTCATCTTGTCTTTGGACAAAGCTGATAATGCTGGCTTAGCTGAGAAAAGTAACGATACAGGGGACACTGTTTGAAGATGTGCTTCTTCATCAGCATCACTGTGTTCAATAACACTTCCAGTGCTTTCATCACCAGAACTTTCAGTTTCTTCATTATGCAATTGGGTTTCTTCATTCTTTAGGAAGTAAACACTGTCATGCTTTGGGTGAGATTCTGAATTCACTTCAAGAATATTTGATTTGGGTACTGATGTGAACCCAGGCGTAATGCTTATGGGTGACATTTCTACTGGAGCAGTTTCCTCTTTTGGAATTTCTTCATCTATCCAAGATGCTTCGCGGATTCGCCCTGGGATGTCATCAAATAAATCATCCTGTGGTTCCTCCTTTCCCTGGGATTTTAATCCCTTAGGAACACTGGAAGATACTTTCTCAGGATTAGCAGCTTTGACTTCTGTGTTAGCCTCACTGCTTTTGTTGAGTGGAAAGGATTTCTCTTCTTCGCTTTCAATTGTAGAAGAGGGCTGCTGTTTCGTCAAGCTTTCCATCGTCATTCCTATGTCTGAATCTGATATCAATGGACTTCCCTGGATAAAATCAACACTGTGCGACTTATAGAGGCCTCTGGTATCAAGTGATGGTTTCTTCAAAACAGAGTCATCTTGAGATTGCTTCAGTTTGTCAACAGTGCCATGGTACTCGCCGTTCATAGCTTTAGTGTCAGATGGAAAGCGTTTACGAGATTTTATAAAGTACAGAGGTCTTTTGGTTCCTGGATCAGATCTTGTACGAGACCTCTGCACAGGGGTAGGATCATTGTTGCCAAGCAAACTCACATCTAATTCCTTCAAATCTGGAACAAGATCTTGCAAACTTGGCGATCGTTTCTCCTTCTTTTGTAAATCTTCATTTGAGCCTCCACTTTCAAACATAGCCCTCCTGGCAGCAATCCCTGAAGACACATGTGGCTTGTGTGAAGGGGTGGGGGGTAAGGTTTTTTTGTAATAGTTGGGTAAGGACCATCGTTCTGTGGTTTCACCTTGTGATGTGTCTTTAGCATGATTAGCCTTCACTCTGTCAAAAGCTTCAGAGACAGGCCTGGGTTTCTTGTACGTTTGCTGTGCTTTTATAGCCTCATTCGCAATAGTCTCATCAAAAATGTGTTTCAGTTTGCTTACATTAGGTTTAACGATCTCTTCAGCGCTGCTTTTATCGTTGTCACTTTCCTGTTCAGTCTCTCTTGCCGGTTTTCGCGTTATGCCCTGTTTCACGTCGCGGGCTTTCGTCGTTCGTACCACATTGTCACTTTTAAGAGGGGAAATATACGTTTTATCAGTAGCGATAATTTTTTTCGGAGGTAATCCAAATTTGTTGTACGCTCTGTGTCTCTCCTCTTTAACATCCCCTGTGTTAGGACTGCCCGTTGTTCGCTTTGTTTTAGTGTCAACAAGATTTTTGCGGGGAGGTACGGTTGAGCTTTGACTCCGAGAACTTTCATTCTCCGCTTTTGGACGACTTGCCACTTCACGACGAGCACGGAATCTGTTCTCTTTGCCGTATTCAGTTCTTGTAGTAGCCATCGAAAGAAATAACGTCGTTTCCGGTAGCTATGTTGTTCCTTCAGAAACTCTGTGCGTCGAATTTGTTTTGTATGGAGCTTATACAAGTATTAAAACATCTTATCCAAAACAATTTGGGAACGTGATAAGTTTATAAAGAAACACAGAAAATCAGGCTCTTAAACTTAGTATTCGCTAGCTTATTAGGTTTCCCAAATGGTGCCAATGCACAATGCAACGTGTACAATATTTGTCCCAGCAAGTTCCATACCACAAGGAAAATGGCCGACGCGGTTGGCTCCAAAATGGACTCACCGAGTAATCCTGCACCAATCGCCGACTTTCCAAACTGACAAAATATCGAAGTTCCGTTTGTCAGACGGCTGGGATAACCCCACGGAGTAAAACTTAACTAAAACCGCTTTTCACACGCCGCCACGTAGAAGCCAAACTTCGCAGGAAGCGAAGTATTTTTGTGGAAAACGACAAAAGTATTCGCCCGTGACAAATGCATCACGTGATAACAGTAAATATAGAAGGAAGTGGATTTCAAGCGGGCTTGTTTAGCGATGCAAATTAACTTCAATTTAAAATTCCTTCGGGAAAGACTGTCTTCCTTTCCTAAACTCGTCAGATATAATCGATGATTCCCAAATAAACAGGCCGTATTTTTAAGGAGGAGGTTTGTAAGGCGAGTAATCAACATTATGCGCCGTGTTGCATTAGCATGCGAACGCTAACCATTTTTCCTCGCAAATGTTAATTGACAAAGGCAAAGTATAGCGTACAATCATAAACGTTCTTAAGTTCACTCAAATTGTTGTATCTGCCCCTTGTAGCCGCTGTAAGCCCAGGAAATTAAGGCGAACAATGAAGTTTTCAAACGAGTTTTCTGTGTTTGTAAACAGTACGTTTCGATGAAAGGTTCGACCAATATGATTTGCATTTAGAATGAATTCACCACTTTCATGGAACTTTCACGAAAAATTAATCAGAACAGCTGCAAGACACAACATGAAATAGAAATTTAGCCACTGGAACATTATCATTATTTAATCAGCTTGGATGGAAAATCTGATAGGATATGAGTATATTGATGTTTGATGATCCCGTGCAATATACGTAGCGATTTAATTCACAATGGCCTAGAATTTTTTAGAAAAGTTATGGAAAAGACTCGATATTGCTCAGACTATTTACGAAAAAAAATTGTAATAAACAAAACCCATATCGAAATAAACATAGAGGCGACAAAGACGAAAACTGGAAAAGTGTAAAGCTTGAGAGAATGCTGAATTTCATTTCATAGTTGAACTTGGCCATTCGCTTAATCACATGCTATTTATTTATTTATTTACATACATATTTATTTCATTTTATTTTTGTGATAATCTTCGGTTTGATCGTGAGAGTTATGAAAGGAGATACATCACGGTTTTGGGCAACTTAAAAATATTATCCTACAAGTTTATCAATCAGAGTAATCGGTGGACACCTTTACTATTATAACCCTTTCAGATCAAGACATGAACTTTCCAAACCTCTCTAATATAGTCTTCAAAAATTCGGCTCTGAGAATTTAGCTTTAGATCAAACAAAGACAAAAGATGTTTTCTCACTTCTCATTTCCTCTTTGCTTGAAAATGTATTATTATGGAAAGGAAAAATTTCTTTCGCGTCACTTTACATTTCCAGAAGTAACTGGGTCAACAATTCTGTTTTCTTCTAGATTCTATTTCTGACCTCTTTGGTGTTCTTTCGAACCTACAATTCCTCATATAGATATATATATATATTTTTTTTTTGGGCATAATTTTGATATACTTTTCACCTTCTGACTGAAATTCGCGGTTGATAAGAATTGCAAAGTCGATTATGATACAATCGCTAGATTAATTGATTCATAAAACGGCGAGGAAGTTAAAAAAAAGTTTATATTTTTTCTTACAGATCAACCTAGTTCTTCTGGGTTTCTTAGTGATTTAAAATTTCTCTGACGTAACTCTGTTTGCTTAAACTCAATTATTATCATAGCTTAATTGCTTTCCTCAAGCCTTTTATTTACATTGGATACTAAAATGACCGCAGACAGCTTCACTTCCTTGTCATGAACAAACAAATTGTGAAATAAATTTGAGCTAAACTCAATAAAGAGGCAAAATTTAGCAAGTTCTTTGGTTCCCTTACTGGAATTTTACTACCAGTTACAGTCTGAAATTTTTTTTCTCGAATTTTCTCGTCATTCTTACTTTCGTCAGAGCGTTAGTGGCAAGACTTGACTTTGCTGACGTTTCCTAAAAGTTCCGCATTTTTCCATCATTAAGTCTTGGTTTTTTTCAATGCAACATGTCTTAACAGAAGAAATCCTACGCTTAGGCGCCCACTCCATATTTATTTATGAGAATACGATGACGTTATTAGCACAGGCGCATCTGAAAGCCTTAAAGTTTGAACAACTATCATCTCTGTTAGCATATACCGGTTGCCATTAAAAGATATGCGCGCACCGGAACTACAATCGAAAACCAATTTTTCACAGACAGTAGTTTTGATCGGCTAAAGGAACGGATAATGTTTAATCCTTAATCTTGTTAAACAATCCGGTGATAGGTCTAAATCTGTGAAAGCCAACCTGTCAAAGATTATCATCAAGCTCAAGCACTTAGTGTCAATGTAAACATATCCTTGGCATTTAAAATTGCATGACCAAGAAAAGCCCCCAGAAGCCTGTGCGGTGCGCACTCACTCATGTTTCATCAACGCTAGTCTCACGTGCGTCCAATAGCCACTTTTGAGGACTAAATCATGAAAGGTACTTGTGGCTACTGCGACTTACAAATTAATGTTTGCTTATTCCAAAGAAAAATTGTAACTGCGTGGAGAGGGATATTACAGTAAATTTAGGGGGTGTTCCTTATTTAGAAGTAACGCGATCCTTGATAGGATTCCCCAGTTTCTTTCATTTCCTCCATAATCCGATAATCCCCTATTCAAGGCTCGATTTCTAGCTGCTATTCAGGGAATGAGCTCGCTTTCCCCCCCCTCCCACTCCACTTCCCTACCCCCCCTACTTTACAAAATGTTCCTCCCATGGGGGATCGAGGATCAGACACGAGGAAACAGTAGAAATGAAGCTTGAAGGTTCACTCACGAACGCTTGCGAAACAGCCTCGTTTTCTAGTTTCGTTGTGTTGCAATTTTTAGAGCACCAAATTTATATAAAGAGGAACGAGTTATTTTTCGGTTTTCTCCACTCTCTTTTCGACTCTCCTCCAATAACGAGCCATTTTAAGGTTCTTATATTTTCTGTTGAATATTGATTTGTAACGAGACTTCTTTCCTTGAAATCGACTAAATTCATCACCATCGGTGACAGTAGCTTACGTGAAGCCTTTCCTTCCCCTCCCCCCAATTAGAAACGGTCACTCCTTGCGGGGAAGGTACGGCTACGCGTGAGCTATGATAACAATTCCATTTTTAGGAAAACACTCAAGCGAGTCCGAGCACGTATTGGAATGTTTTACCGTGGTGGTATTATATCCGCCTTCTTGGAAAATTCCAAAATATTCCCAATCTTGGAAACCAATAAAATCGAAATCTCTTCGTAACTGACCTTAAGAAATCGCACAATTGGTCTATCTATTGATGAATATAAAACGAGCTCGTTACCCTGTTACCTCTCCAGTGAAACAAACTTAAACAAGATCTGTAACGCGTGACTTTTCGTGACATTTCTGGTCAGTTCGCTCACTTCCGGTGTAAAAATAACGCTCACGTTCGTCGCCACAGGAAACGGAAATTCCCGGTGAAATCTCTGTATGGTAAGGTCTGGCTAAAAATAACTTCATTTGACTCAGAAATGGCTTTATTTGACCGAGTATAGATTGTTTTATTCAGACAATAATTATAATTCGCATCAAAAATTTCATAAATATCTTCACAACATGCCATACAACCGAGACGACGGAAACAAAGGAATAGGTCTAAACCTAATCAACAAAGTTGTATTATCAAACCACTTAAGTTCTTTAGAATGTCGCTCTTTTGTTAGCATATCAATGAATCCGATATGCATCGAGAAATATACAATTCAAAATAATAATTTTTTCAGTTTTCCGATTTTTACGCTACTCCCACGTAATGGAGAACAGTTTTGCTTGTAGTTTGCCCTCTTAGTCGCGAGAATGTTTCAAAATAATGTTTTTCAACAACGCTGGGGTTGTACTGTTTTCGTCCGTGATTGTTTTGGCAGCCATTTGCTTGACAAGAGCAGGGAAAGCGTCCGTAATCAACTTGGCAGGCTATTCCACTCAAAATACACTCGCATGTTTGTGGGTAACAAATATCCCCACAGCTACAACCACAAATGATCCGTGATAATCTCAGCTGAGCGCAATCTTGCTCTTCTTTCTTGAGAATCCGGCGAACGCCGGCAGTTTTAAGAATAGTTTTCCTCGCTTTTTGCGCCACCGGTGCAAAGGGTTTGCGATCGCCAATTGTAACACCGTCCACTTCAAAATTGACTTGGATTTTCTCAATCAATACATGTTTTCTCGCCATTCCCAAAGTAGTACCTCCCGATGAAGGCACGGAAACAAAACCTTGCTTTCTTGGGAAATGGTAGATTGTAACTTCACCAAATCGTACCTGTTTTTTCAGCCGCTTACAAGAATCGTCGCTTTCATCTCCGCTATCGGTACTGTGTTTTCGCTTCCCCATTTTTAGCTAACGCGAATTCGAACAAGGTGCGTCTAACCTTCACTTCGTTGACTCCTCTCGTTTCACAGATTTTGGCATTTCGTATTTAAACGCCGAGATCTCAGGTTTCTATTTTCATGACATACGTGCTCGTCTTGTGACGTCAAAAACACGCAAAAAATGACGTTCCGATTGCAATCCAATGTTTTTTATTGGTCGACGTGTGATCTTGAAATCGTTGTGGGTCGAAGAGCGGTGGTCGGGGGGAAATTGAAATGTGATGTAAATATTGGGGATAAAGATGTTTTCGAAAGAGAACGTCAGAAAAAGCCATTTACACCCTTTTTTTTTCGGTGTTGACTTCAAGACTTCCTTTGACTTCAGAATAAATAATATGAATTTGTTTGACGTTATGACTTATTATGCTATAATTGATAAAAGGATTATTCTGCTCACGACCACGCAAAATTTTAACTCATCATTACGTTTGATGGCCTTTAAAATTTTATTCGCTCGGAGCTTAAATAGGATGCACCCACACGTACAAAAGTTAACCAACACATTATTGTTGAAGAAAGTGGCTTTAAGAGTTATTTTGATCGTAATAAGAGCCGTCGAAGTCTGAAAATTGTGCCTTGAACATAATGTTAAACAGAGCAAGGAATTTACGGGTGAAGAGAAGCTTTCGTGAAAAAAGCTGTCTTATCAGGAACGTTCGAAACAAAGAATTGAGGAAAATCTTGATAACGCTATCGTGGCGAAAAATTCCACATAATACGTGACTCTAGAAAAAAAAACTGCGTGAAATTTCTAAATATTAATAAGAAAAGCTTTCTTTTTTCCCTGTAGACTAAATAAACACGAACGTGTTTAGACGAACCCAGCAAATTTACATGTAAGCAATATTGTAGATCGTTCCAAGCGCGTCTCGAGTCGGTTGAAAAGAAAAAATTCGAGAACGAAAGATTTTCCCAGTTTCAGAGAAAATAGGATTTCCTCGACGAAAAGCTTCCTGGGGATTATTGTGTGGGCTCTAAGAGAGTATCCGTTTTTGATATGAAAGGAGATAAAACAAGAACTTGATTGCACGGTTAAGCTGAATATAGTTTTCGTTATTACTGAAATTAACCACGTTCTGGATCTAAGAAAAAATTACTTGGAACAAAAAAGTTTCATCGATTTTCTACACCAAGTTTAATCTTCATTCTAATGTTTCAAGTCAGTTTTAAGTCAAATATTGCTGTCTTGATAAAGAAGGCTGCGTAATTTTCAACATAACATCGCAAAAAATTTTTATCCCGTGGGCTTTTTATTTAGAGGGAATAAACTTACCTATAAGCGGAACTCGATGTTATCAACAGCTATCAGCACCACAAAATTTAAGCATGTAACTAGCTGGGGATGATTTTTATTTCGAGGCTTGAGGTTATTTTGTATTAAATTGCATTCGCCTTTAATCAGCAAAAGTTCCTTCAAAAGGCCTCGCAACGAAAATAAGAACCTTGTTCCCGAGCTCCTCTACCTTCATATATTTCCGAGGAGGGAGAGAGAGGTGCCTGGGACCAAGTTTCCAACACTTGTAAACGTAAACGTAAGGCGTATTTCAAATCTCGTATTTCTCATCCAAAAAAGCTTAAGAATTTGTTAAAGAACTTCAATGCCTTAAATAGAAAACTGTACATTTAACACCTGTTGTCTCATTTCGCAGCTTTTACGATACCGACTATGTAAAACGAATTGAAGAGTCATGTGCAATATCTTTCCTGTGAATGAGGCATATTTACAATGACTGAACAAAAGCACTTTTACAAAACTTAGCAAAGGATGATACTCGTGGGATATTATATTACTCAAGGCTGAAAACTGTT